TGGACGTGTTCTCTGTTAGGGTTTGTTTGTGGATAGCCTAATTGTCATTCGGCAATCATTAAGAGTTGTGTCTGTCACCATGATTTACGGCATCAGTAGGGTGTTACTTGGGTGTGCTCAAGATAACACGTTTTTAGTTCTAACTATGTAGTAAGGCTTAAGATTTGGTAAACGGTTATGCTGTGATCATGATTGAACAGTTGACGGTTTGCCTCTGTCTGTGGTTCCAGCCTTGCAGCTTCCAGCAGTTGGTTCCCGTGTAGCGAGCCTTGTTCCCTGGTATGCTTCTTTTATCCGGCTGCTGTTGTTGGACTAGCTCCTGGCATGGTCTTGCAGATGTTGGATGGAACTGCCGAACTGGGAATCTGGGATCATAGACAAAGGAGACGTCCTGAACGACCACTTGTCCTGAGCAGTATGTGCTCGGGCAAGATAGCAGTGAAAGAAAGACATGTGTTGCCGCTTGATAACCGTTCTCCTCGCCTGCTTCTATATTTGGTCCAAGTTGAATGCCGGTGGCTGATGGGCATGTGACGCATCATGGACCAGAAGCCAGAAGGAGATGAATGAATAGTAAAGCGTGCGTCGCTTTCGTGGTGGTCCTTGGTGCACATGATTGGAACCGGGGTCTGGAGAATAAGGGCCCGTTTGGCACGGCTTCCGCCGGCTTGGATCTTCCTGATATCGACACTGTAGCATACTGTTTATAGAAACGGCTTTCCTCCTCTTCTCCTCTCTCTCACTGACACTTGCACTGTTCATCGAAACCGGAGAAGTTTGTTTTCCTGGCTTCTCCGGCTTCATCTCCTGCATGCTACGGTACCCGCGCTACAGTGAGACAGAAAAGGTGGAGAGAGAAAACCGGCTCATCGCTATAGTGATCAGCGCAGATTTTGTCAGGCGAAGTCCCGAGCCGGCGGAAGCCGTGCCAAACAGGCCCTAAGTTCTCCCCCATGGCATGCTTCCTTTGAGCAATCACAGTGGTTGATTGATTGCCTCGGTGATGATACAACCTGTTCGTAAGTTCTCCCCCATGGCATGCTTCCTTTGAGCAATCAGTGGTTGATTAATTGCCTCGGTGATGATACAACCTGTTTGTTTGTTGGTTTCAGCCAGGGCTTATCAGTCAACCAACAATGTTTTTCTCTCATAATAAACTAGCATCAGCTGGACTTATCAGCCCAGAAATCAACTAGCGAACAGGCCGATAATCCAAACCGAGGGCATGCATGATTCCATCAACCAAAGGGGGCCGGGGGGAAGGCAACCACGGATCAGAGGATATGCGTGCTGATAGAAATCTCTTGATGGATCGTCCCACATCACTTATCCACTGGGGTCACTGCATGGCTTCACTTATCCGGTGCTGCCTAACACGAGAGGGGTTGGTTTCGCGAGTTAAACTTCTCCAACTTCGACAAAAAGAAAATTATCAATTGGTGGGTTTGATAAAAATGATTTGGTGTTATAAATGTATATGAATTTTTCTATTAACTTGGTCAAAGTTTTTTTAAAAAAAATGGCATGTGTTTTTGTTATGGATGGAAGTGTGACTTATGTGCTTATTGCCATCTTACCCTCAACATGAATCAAACGATTTTCAAATGCTATTCAGGTGAAAAATGGAATGCTATGGTTCAAATGCGGTCTACAAAGATGCGTCCATCGTTTTGGTAGAGGTTAATTAACTTAAAATTAAGCGGGTTGCTAGCAGCCTATCCCCGGCTTTGCCTTTACGGATATCATGGCCGAGATTTTCTACATGAGCATATTCGATATGGTTCCGTCCTCCATTGTCACTGGATTGGGTGTGGCTGAGTGCTCAAACATTCTCTCATTCCGGGAATATCACAGGGGTACTACCAAATAGTACTGATGAAAGTAGCTTGTAGTAGTAGTACCACCTTTCCATGCTCTCTCCCCTCTGAGCTTTTTTTGAGCTCTGCACCTGATTGGCTAAGGTGTGTCAGGAACAGAATCTTTTATTTTTTTTAATTCTTGGAGGGAAATAAAGCAAGCCTTTTACTCCACCAAATGCCTTGCCTAGCCTAGGCCAGAGGAGGTTGCTGTGGATCCATACTAGGATCTCCCTTAGTTTAGTTGCAAATGCACCATTATCTTAATGCCTAGGGTAGCTCCCCACAAAGATGCCACTTTCCCATGGTTTTCTTCTTCTCATTTCCTCCTTTTACTATTATGTAATCTTTTGACATCACCAACAGAGAGCTAGGGATGAAAAAAAAACCATGACGTCAAGTACTACCTCTGTTCTGACAAGAATGTAATTCTAGATATATTTTCAATTAAAGTATCCAAAGTTTGACCAATAAGTATATTATGAAAATATCTCATAGTAAATCTAATAATACTTATTTAATGTCATAACTACTAATATTTTTTTATATATAATTAATCAAACTTGAGATACTTTAACTTGATTTTGTGCTAGAATTGTATTTCTTTTTCCGAACGGAGGGAGTAGTATCTTAATCGTTTTAATGATTGTTAAATCAGGTTAGATAGAGATAAAGACAGGTCCTAGAAAACTTAGAGAAAATAAATGACGAGTCCACACTACACTACACTTCACTTATATGATGCAATAATACAATACATTTTACCTTGTGATATAAATATATAATGATAAGGAAATCTACATAAGACCTTTCGTTTGGATAGATATAATCGATGACAATGATGGCCGAAAAGATGAGGGAAAGGGTGTCATCTGTCATGGGACGGAGAGAGTTGCTTCGGACAGAGACATGAGCAGGAGGACAGTAAAGCAATACTGCGTGGTAGAGAAAAGAAGTGATCAGGTCACTGGTGAAAAGAGGGGTCAAGGGGCTGACTGGTGGGGCTCGGGAGTATTAACTTTCTCCTCTCTTTTTTAACATGACATCTATTTTGAGGATCTGGTTATGGTCTCTAAATGGTGTGTCTGGTAGGGATCTAGATTCTCGTAGAAAAATACTGGTTTCAGATTCTCTCAACAAACGTTTCAAAAGATGAATCAAAATCACTTCGTGAGATCGTTTGGCTGGTAGGCTGGATTCTGATTCATTCATAGGAATATATATTTTTTTCTTAGAAAACCATATAAATAAAAATATGCTCTAAAAAATCTTAAATTTTTTTAGCGAAGAAAAACTTAAATACAACACATTTAATTTGTTGCACCAAAAAAGAATTATAAACAAATAAGATACAATTGTTAGAAGAGAAGGGAGGCAAAAGAAACGGTACTAGAATCACTGCCAAACCAGCATGTAGGTGATTTCAGTTCCTAGGCAAAGAAGGAGAAACGTTTCAGCATTTGATCTTTGGCACAAATTCTTGGGGTTCCACATGAGAATCCAAAACGATTCTCCTATCCAAACGGGCCATAAGTGTATTTTGGTGTCAAAAGCAAAAATTATTGCACGGTTTGCCTGTTAGCTGAAGTAGAGACAACATATATACCTCTCTAGTAACAAATACGAGCAACTCCAGATATTTCCTATAGTTCACTTGCTAAACCAATAAATCTAGCGAGTTAACAAAATAAGTAGCAACCTCAATTTATTTTCCTCTCTAAGAATTTTCTATATTAATTTTCTAAACGATTTTGTCTTGCTTCGAACAACGACTGAGCGTGGCCACAAAAAATACATTACTTTGACAAATACGAATATTGCAAATGCATTCTACAAATTCGCTTGACGTTTGAGACCCTGCTGATCCGAACGCCGCGTAGGCTCCTAGCTCGGTGGCAGAGTTCCTTGCTAATTAACATTCGTACGCATAACAACACTAGAAGAGACAAAATATGCTGACAACACTAAAACAAACCTTTTAATTACTTTATTAGAGGCCAACTAACGACCACTCCTTAGCGGCTAATGAGAGAGAGAGAGAGCACTGCAAATTGCTCCAGCTCCTCGTCAAACTGCGCTGGCTGGCAATGGCCTAGCTAGGTAGCTCCCCACACCCACGTGCTCCCACGCCAACCCTCCTTTTGCTGTTCTGATTCTGATTAATCTTCACTGTCCAACTGGTGATATATAGTAGGCTAGAGCTACAAGATGTCGTCTGGCTTTGAGATGAGCTGTGATGCCAAGCAACGCCAACGCGCTAGTTGATAAGGGCAGCTACAACAGTCGATTTTTAAGGTAGCTTTAAATATTTTTTTTATTTTAGCAGAAAAGAGAGAAAAACTAGTTTTTGATAACGAGCGAGGCTTTTATACATATTTCAACATCATACGAGGATATCATATAAATCTAATAACATGTTATTGTTAAAAGTTAACGTTATTGGAGAGATCGTAACTAGCTCTTACACATGCGGATCCCCTTTACTACTGCTGGGCCTTACGGTTGCGGGTCCCTTTTACTACTACTGTACTGGGTATGCATTTGCAGGTCGTTAAATATACTGCTACTGCCGCTATGTACTGTATCTGTCATCATCAGGGTTGTTTTGGTTATTAATTATCGCCTTCCTTGTAAGCCGTGCTGCATGTCTTTACTGCTGGACATAACTTATCGGAAAAAGTCTACGTAGTCCTCGCAGTTATTACAACTCGACTGCTTCACTTCAACCTATAAAACTAATATTTAACTCTCTCACCTTTACAAAACTGTTCAAATAATCTTCTACGGTGGTTTTGCATAGCAGTTTTGCCACGTTGGAGCAATGAGATGGACTTTGATGCTGATATGGATGACTGACAAGTGGGCCCTACTCGTAAGTGGTGCACCTTCTCTCACTGATAGGTGGTCCCCACCCATCATCCCCTACCTCAAGCTCCCTTTTTTCCTTTCTCTCTCCCCATTTTTCAGATGCAGATCTCACGCCACACCCAAGCAGCAGCCATGGCGGCAGCGCCCTCTTCCTCCCACCCGGCGGCGCCCCCTCCTCTCCACTCGCGCTTCGGCACCCAGCAACCCGCGCACCCCGGCGCCTCCGTACCCCTCTGCCTCCGCGGGCCCCGCGCCCTCCCCATCCGCGCTTCTCGCTCACCTCGCCACGGCTAGGGTGACTGTCCTCCCGGGGCTCTCCGCCACCGAGCTTGCCCTCGTGGCTGGCGTGTCCGCGGGGCGGGTGCGTGCCGAGCTCGAGAAGCTCCGCGACGGGGAGGCGACACCAACTTCTAGGCGCTCAAGACGTACGGCTGTGACCTCGTCGAGCAGACCGGGAAGCTGGACCCCGTCATCGGCCGCGACGAGGAGATCCGCTGCGTGGTGCGCATCCTGTCGTGCCGCAGCAAGAAGAACCCCATCCTCATCGGCGAGCCCGGCGTGGGCAAGACGGCCGTCGTGGAGGGCCTCGCGTATCGCATCGTCCGCGGCGACGTGCCCAACAACCTCCTCGACGTCCTCCTCCTCGCGCCCGACATGGATGCCCTCGGGCCTCGGAAGCTCGCCCGCCGCCATTGGGGCCAGCTCGGGCCGCCGTTCACCGGAGAAGTCCCCCGCCAGCGACCCTAAGCCACTAACTGCCGCCCTTGCCATGGCCGCGCCGCCCCGCTCGCCACAGTAGCCGCCATGCCCTCCTCTGTTTCGGGCACCCACTGTAGAGGTCGCCCGGGCCCGCGCGTCAGGGAGTGGGTAGGGCAGTGAGTAGAAAAGTCTGCCTGTGAAGAGGAGACCTGCCCACCTACAAGCGGGGCTCACTTGTCAATCAGCCACGTCAGCACCAAAATCCACCTCAACACGTCCACGTGGCAAAACCACTATGCAAAATCATCGTAGGAGTTATTTGAACGGTTTTATAAAGATAAGAGGTTTTATAGATTAGAGCCGAAGTAATCGAGTTACCATATCTGACGAGGTTATAGACTTTTTCCTGACTTATCTTACCGTTCAGCGTCCTTTTCCTAATAAGCTTTGGTATATTCTAAGACCCGGATGTTGAGCTGCTATGCTAGTCTACACGTAGCTAGTAGCAGCGTAGCACGTTCTGGAATCCTCTGCATTCGAGTCACCGACGCCTTTGTCACTGACATGTAGAGCGGGTAACCTATGCGTTGCGTCATTTATGAAAATTGAGCGGGTATATTTCCGTGTGCCCATAATTTGGGTTATTGTTGAAGTTGATCCATGGATTTTATGCACGGCCATGGCATATTAGGGCCGTGTTTAGTTGGCCCGAATCGGCGCCGCCGAAAACACTGTAACGTTTTATTTTTATTTGGTAATAATTGTCCAATCGTCGACTAATTAGGCTCAGAACGTTCGTCTCGCAAAGTACAACCAAACTGTGCAATTAGTTTTTGATTTCGTCAATATTTAGTACTCCATGCATGTACCACAAGTTTGATGTGACGGGGAATCTTCTTTTTGCATAGCGTCAAAGTTGGGAATTTGGGGTGAACCAAACATTTGGATTGCAGCTGCTAAATTTAGTCTCTCCTAAATAGTTTAGTCCCGTTTAATCACTTCAAAGTTGTAAGAGAGGACTAAAGTCATTTTAGTCTCATTTAGTCATAGTATTTAGATAAAAAAAATGACTAAATGGAACTAGATTTAGGAGCCCCTAGCTGAACCAAATACCCTCTTAGTAGCAAGCTTCTCAAGCAGAGCTTCTCATGTTTTGTAGAAGGCATAATGCCTCGTGTTGGCAAGACCAGGCTAATCAGACGCTGAGAGGCTGTCATTCATCATTTATCAAGCATTGTCTACATGCTACTCCCTCCGACCTTTTTTATCTGTCGTTCTCGCTTTTCAAGAAGTCAAACATACTCAACTTTAACTAAATATATATTAGAATAATATTTATCGTACATAATTACTATCATTGGATGGATCTTTGAATCTATTTCTATAATAAATCTATTTGGAGAACAAATATTGCTAATATTTTATACAAATCTAGTAAAAATTAAAAAGATTTGACTAGCATACACTCCCACGGCGACATTTAATTAGGGATAGAGGGAGTATGTCAACGTTGTAGGTCGTCAGGTATGTCCATTTTTATCAAGATCACATACGTCTAGTGTTCACAAGGGTAGATGGAACTCTAGCCAAATGTCGACGAGGCAAAGTCACTGTCCCACTGACACGCCCCAATTAGTGGGGTCGGACACATCGTTGCTAGCACCGACGAGGTGAAGGCAACAGACATACCCATGCTTAATGAAAGTCGGATACATGACCGGACACTGACAAGACGAAAGTCATCCTCTTTATTATCAACATATTTCCGCCCTGTTTGGTTGAGCTGTGGCTGTGGGAAAAAGCTGTTGTGGGCTGTGAGCTGTGGAAAAGCTGCTGTGGGCTGTGAGCTGTAGAAAAACTGAAAGCTGTTTGGTTAAACAAGTATAAAATATACCTTTTATCTTTATCTCTCTTGAAACAACTATGGAAGAGCTTTTTATTCCACCAATTTCGAAAAGCAGAAAGCAGAAAGCCAAAAGCAGGGTCAACCCAGCTTTCAAAAATGAACTACGGAAAAGCAGCTGCTTCTGAAAAAGCATCCTCCAAAAGCAATCCCTTTGGTTAGTCTTTTGGCTTTTGGGGCTAAAAGCCAAAACCAAAAGCCCAACCAAACAGGGCCGATCGTTACTTTGACGTGGCGATGGCAATGCCATGGTCGAGCTTCAACAACATAAGGCCACACTGATAACGAGCAACTGAATATATGGCGATCATAAAGCGCAGCTTAATCGGAGGTTTTTCGCAAGACCTTGTCTTGCAGATGTAACTAATCGGCTGCACCCAACAGGTCCCTAAAATCAGCGAACTACACAATTTTCTACAAGCCATACCTTTCCTTAAGTGTGCAAATGATTGGATACGGTCGGATAACTAGAGATACGAATACAGATAGCTACAGTATTTCTCAGATTCATATTCAAATACGGATAGTGTCAGCTATGTCGGATATGATATGAATGGATATTGACATGATAAATATGTGATTTGAGTATCCGGATATAGATACGGTATTGGGTGTTGAATATCCGGACTCGAATACAGACGGATCTAAACTCTTGTAAACGGATTCAGACTCGGATACAAGTGGAAAATATCCGTCTTCATCGTCTTCATATCTTTAAATTTTATTTTTTGAATTTTTTAAACGACCTAGAATGTTGAATGGTCTATACTAAAAATTTTTATAGCTCTTAATATAATCTACAACTTTGTTGATAACTTTTTTTATCTGAGGTCGTTTAGAGGCTCAAATATACATTTTTTAGTTTTCGTAGTTTGAAATTCTTTTTTTTTCAAACAAAAAAATGACATGCTTTTTAAGATTTCTTGTGCATATATATATATATATATATATATATATGAAACTAGTTAATATTTGAAAGTTGAGGAACAAGTTTAGTCTGATATTTAAGTTCGAGAACATTTTTTTTAATTCAGCGACAAATTCAGAGCACAAATCATTTATTTTTTACTCTAACGTTTCCAAAGACCACGCAAACTAGTTAATCTTCACCCACAGTCGCACATAAGCACGTGACAGCAATCTCATAGGCTCCACGTCTCATCAAGAATTTGTGTACCACACTACCACCAATGAGAAAACGACATCCAAGACGAGTATGTCATGGCAAGTGCCTTCCCGACTGTGATGTTTTGGAAACTTGTGTTTGTAAAATCATTATTAGATGGTGTTTGGATTCGATGACTAAGATGACTAAAATTTAAAATGTGTTATGTGAGGGTGTCATATAGGGTGTTCGGATACTAATAAAAAAATAAATTACAGAATCCGTCAGTACTCCACGAGACGAATTTATTAAGCCTAATTAATCTGTCATTAGCATATGTTTGTTGTAGCACTACATTGTCAAATCATGGACTAATTAGGTTTAAAAGATTCGTCTCGCAAATTAGTGGCAAGCTGTGCAATTAGTTTCATAATTAGTCTATATTTAATACTCTATACATGTGTTTAAACATTCGATGACCGAACACCACCTGCTAGCGCACATACGTTCACACTGTTATCTCGAGTACTTTTTTTTTAATTAATGATATCTCGAGTACTAGTTGGCACTGATAATCTTCTTTTTTTTTCCCTTTTTTCGTTCATTTTATCCATTCCATCTGGTAGCCTACTACGAAGATTTTTCTTGTGCGTATACAAGGAACCGATCGACGCAATATATATTGACTGCATTGTATGTGCGTTGCTAAAGGTCAATTGAAACAGCAGCAGCATTAGCTCATACGTGCAACTAAACTCGACCCAAAATCAACCGTTGAAGTCATTATTATTGGAAAACATCGTATCGCCTAGCAAGGTTATCGACGATCAAGCTCGGTATTATTGATTGGAAAAATCGTTTATATACTATCTACTGGGACAGGATGAATCAATGGCATGCATTTCTTTTAATAAAGACACTTAAAACAGTGCCTTATATACGTTATCAATCGGGAAGACACACTTGCCGTGACATACTCGTCTTAAAAGATTGATAACTTAACACGAAAAGATCGATAAATTAACACAAAAAGATCTAAAAAAAACTAAAAATACATCAAAGCCGGTGCTCTCTATGAACTCTTCCATGGGTTAATCACAAATGATACCCGTTGGTATTTTAAGGATGTTATAATCAATTGGCGCTTCAATGTCTTATAGTATGGTGTGCTCTTTGAACCCGTTTGACATATGTTTTCAAAAATCTTGTTAGCTTTAGTTTATACTCTATTATTACTGAAATGATACACCACTCTTCTGGTTTGGAAGAAGAAACGACCATTTTAGAAATGCATTAATAAAAGGAAAAAAAGTCCATCTAAACCCCTCAATTATTGTGTCTCCAATTTACCTTCCTCAATTAGAAAACCGAGTTTTTAGACTCCTTTTAACTCTTGAAACCGTCCGATTTACCTCCTTGAGCGGTTTTGGAAGGGTTTTGGCGCCACGTCAGACACGAGGAAGGTAAATTGCACGAGGAAGGTAAATTGGACTTTTGCGATAGTTTAGGGAGGTCAACTAAAATTTTTAAAAATTATAGAAATTATTTTTTTCAAAAAAATATCCAAATATTTTTATGGAATAAAGATACAGTTGAATATGAAAATATTATTTAATATAAAAATCATAAAAAAGTTGTTTTAAGATAGAAAAATATGAAACCACTTTCATAATTTCCTAAAATCATGCTCTATATTTCTCTAAGCTAGGCACCATAATATAATATAGAGAACGAGTTTAGGAAACACATGAGTTCGGTATTTTGAGCCCATCCAAATTGTTTTCTTGCTCGATCATGTGCTCCTAGTGCGTTCACAGACCTATGACGGCGATGACAAACGAGGAAGCGGTCGCATCCATCCGGATGTTGTTGACCAAGTCATAGACTTTGGTTCAGGAGTCTGGAAAGTTACATGCTAGATGGTCCAATGAGCCTACACATGTCATTGTTGTGATGTCCCCTGAAAAAGACAATGTTGCTGCAAAGTTAAGTCACATGATACATGTTGTTAACGTGCAATCAAAGCTTAAGTTATATTTTCTATTTCAAGATTTCCGTGCATGT